CTCGTGTTAACCATCACTGGAGACCTCATCTCTTTGACGGGCGACGACTTCCTTGGACTCAATCTTGGACTCAATTGTCTGTTCGGACTCTCATTCGGCTGTAATTTAATCGTTAATTTGATTGAATTCTTGTCGCCGAAAGAGACCGACGATGTGATGCCAGTGTCTTGACTCAAATCAGTCGCTTCCGTCTGCTCTTTACTCACGTTATTCTCAGTCTTATTGTCTTCAGTCGTGAGGACAGGGTTTGTGTCACTAATCGATTCATTCGTCTCTTCCGATTGAATCGTGTCTTCACTCGACTTCTCTTCATTCGCTTCATTCAAATGCTGTAATCAATGGACAAACAGTTGACAAGAATTAGAAATTATGGCCAAAAGACAAGAAAACGGATTAAATGGATGGCAAAGCGATGCCAAGAGAGCGGACACGGGATCTGCTAAATACCTGAATGACAATCGCCTGGAGCTGTGCTTTGGTTGCGTTCTTCTTGAAGGGGATGTCCCTCTTCGTGAGCACTTCCTTCAAGTCGATGACACGCAAAGAATACAAAGGCTTGCCGTCAATGATGGGTTCACTGCCAAAGTCAGCCATCTTTGTGTCACTAAACACACGGTTCCCACCATTAGGTCGTACACACAGTACCACTCTATTGTGCACCACATCTGTGCCCTTATTATACCATGCATTCACTAATCAATTCAACGCACTGTTTGTTATGAAAATGGTATAAAAGTGTTGGAGATAACTAAAACTCAGTTTCTAAACATTTGTGTTCATTTGAATGAGTATTAAAATTGTTTTTGTATTAATACTAATAATATTTACATTTTAATTGTATTTAAAACTAAATATGAATTGAAAATAGAAATATCAAATCGTTTTGAATGGTTGTGTTGAATGGGTTTTGCATTGAATGAGTGGAGCAGTGAATGCATAAGTGTTGCCGTCATTGGTGTAGCGATGAGAGGGAGAGTGCTTTGGGAGAGCATTGAATGCATTGAGTGAATGGATGAATGAGTGAATGCATACATAGTGTGTGAATAGATGTATGTCTATGAGGTGTATGTCTATGGGAGAGAGTGTGAGTTAATGGATGTATGAATGTATGGATTGTTGTATTCATGCCTTCATTGCTTACAATTGGATACAAACACTGAAACAGCACTAAAATCCGACACAAATTGTTCACTCAATTAGTGGTGATTCGTATGATTTGAACGCCGATTAAGTGGTGAACAGTAGTGTTGATTGCATTGAGTGATAGCCAGTGAAAGACTATATGTTTTCATGATTATAAGATTAGTTTGAATTGTAATTATAATATAAATATAGATTTTATACAAACCATCGATTGTTTTATACATTGATTGTCATAATAATAGTATTAATAATAACTGTTTTGTGAGCCATCACTGAGATAATAGTGAAGATAATGGTATACAAGGAAGAGGTGTTCAGTTGGTTTAAGGAGCAATCGGGAGCCAAACGGATTGAACTGATGTGTGGCTTGATGTCGATGTGTATTCCTCTGGAGATCCGGTTCTTCGAGTCGATAATCAAAGAGTTGGCCAAAAAAGACATGAATGCCTTACGAGAGGCCGAACTGAAGGCCAATTCGTACCAAGAGTTGGACA